AATCATGTTCAAGTGATTCAAACTGGAATATTTTGGAAAGTTTTTTCAAATTATGAACAAATTTCCAAATTCGAGGATGCTGTTCAAATAAAAACAAAACTCTGCAATGAATTAAAATACAAACTAAGATTCGAATATTATTTCTTAATTTAGTCACTAAAATAAAATTCAAAGTGTCGCATAAAAGAGTCAGTATATCAGAATAAAAAGCCAGTTTTGGAGAGAAATCAAGGATATTTGCTTCAACAAACACGTTTCGGCAAAAAATTGGATTTGTTCTTTTGGGTCTTTCTGTCTTTTTTTCTTCAAAAAATTCATAACTTTTGATTTCATTCCATTTTGTCGGATGATTTGTTTGTTCGTTTCTTGAATATTTCTCATCATTTTTGAATAGTTGATTGTGTTTGTTCCAATTTTTTCGGATTTTGTGAGAAAGTGATGTTTTTTCTTTCGCAAATTTCTCAATTATTTTGTTGTATTGCTTGATTTCTTTAAGTGATCTTTTTTCGTCTTCATTGTCTTCAGAATTTTCTAACTGATTTTGATCGAGATCCATAAGTGATAAAATTTTGGATGTTAAAAAATTTATGATATCACAAAAAGTGCAAGAAACTTCTACTGAAATTTCAGTAGAAACACATGCCAGATTATGAACAGTGGAAAAAATAATATTGATAAATTCCATATCAAAAGAATTTTCAAGATTTGATTTTGCAAGTTCTAATAAGAAAAGAATAAGCAAGTTTCCAAGAGAAAGTTTTGATAAATGCTTGGTTTTCAATCTGTGTGATAAATTTTGTGAAAACTATTTGGGATTCAAATCAAAAAATTCAAATTCAAATTCAAATTCAAATTCGGAAAATTTTTTGTTTTGTTTTTTTTTAAGAAAAACCTTTGAAGAAAGAAGTATTCCAAATGATTGATCTTGTGACCAAACAAGTAAAACAACCAAAATCAAATGAACAACTGAAATTCTTTCATCTTTTAATTGCGGTTCAATTTTAGTAAATTGATATAATTCATCTATTAAGTTTTCAATACAAGTGAAGAAAATTGAAGTTGAAAATGAAAATTGAAGAAATGAAGAATTTTTGGAAAGAAGATGAAAAGCCAAAAGAAGCATTTGTTCGTTCATATTTTCTTTTCTAAAATAATAAAAGGAAATATATATAAATATATATAAATATATATATAAATATTCCAAATAGAAATTATTTCTTTACGAAAATATTATTTTTAATAATGAATTAAAAGGAATTTGTAAAGATGAAAAATCGGATAATCCAAATCCTTGAAAATTTGTAATATTTGATAAGGCATCTTGATAAGGATTGTGGGTATTTTCTGAACCAAAATGGGTTGGTTGTAGAAGTGCTAAAATAAATGAAAGAGAGAATGTTGCAACTGGAGTAGAATCTGCAAAAATATTATTTAGTGTATCTTCCAAAGTTGAAGTTGAATAATCCACATCAATAAAACAATCTTCGGAATATAATAAATCAATTAAAATTTTATTTTGGTTTTTATTTTAATTTTGATTTTAATTTTGATTTTAATTTAATTTAATTTGATTTGATTTAATTTAATTTAATTTAATTTAAATTTGATTTTATTTTGGATTTGATTTTGGATTTAATTTAATTTTCAATTTGATTTAATTTAATTTGATTTGATTTGGATTTAATTTGATTTAATTTGATTTAATTTGATTTAATTTGATTTAATTTGATTTAATTTGATTTAATTTGATTTAATTTGATTTAATTTAATTTTAATTTAATTTAATTGATTTAATTTTGAATTTGATTTAATTTGATTTAATTTGATTTGAATTTAATTTAATTTAATTTAATTTTGAATTTAATTTTAATTTAATTTAATTTAATTTAATTTGATTTAATTTAATTTAATTTGATTTAATTTGATTTAATTTGATTTAATTTAATTTGATTTAATTTAATTTAATTTAATTTAATTTAATTTAATTTAATTTTTGATACTTTTCCGTGAAATTTTTGGTTTAAAAGTGATTGATTTTGTGATTTGTTTTTGAGAAATAATGTTTAAAAGAAATAAAGAAATTAAAGAGTTAGCAATTTCTTGATTTTGTGAAAAGAAGATTTTTTGGATTTGGAAAGGATAATAATCTGATGTTTTTAATGATGATGTATTTTTAAATGAGGAATAAATTTCAGAAGATAGAAGAATTATAAGTATCGAAATTGCTTCTATTTGAATTATGTAATCTGATAAATTTTTCATTGTGTGGCTCAAGAGGAATTGTGATAATGTTTCGATTAATTCTTGAAGAATTGATTGATTTTGTTCAATTTCTTTTTCTTGATTTATTTTTATTTTTATTTTAATTTTCAAATTGATTTTAATTTTAATTTTCAAATTAATTTTAATTTTAATTTTAATTTTCAAATTTAATTTTAATTTTGATTTTGATTTTGAATTTGATTTTAATTTTGAATTTGAATTTGATTTTGATTTTGATTTTGATTTTAAATTTGATTTTGATTTTAATTTTTATTTGAATTTGATTTTGATTTTGATTTTGATTTTGATTTTAATTTTGGTTTTGATTTTCAAATTGATTTTGATTTTACTATTTAATTGAAAATAGAAATGATTTTCTAAATTGGAAGGTTGATAAAGATTTTGATTTTGAAGGATTTTTTCTGGAACTGTAGGAAAAGTATTAAAAATATCATCAAATGAAGAAACTGAAAAGGTTTTTTCTGGTGGTTTTGGAATAAAACTTAAACCATTTTCAGTTGAAGTTGTTTGATTTTGTGTTTTGAATGAATAAAAAGGATTTTGAGGTGAATCATCCATTTTTTTATGAGAAAGATGAACTTCTAAAAACATGTGAATAAACATTTTTATTAAAAATAATAAATTTGTTGTTTGAAAAAATTTTTTTGCTTTTTCTGATTTTTTTATTTCTTGTTCATTAAGTGTTCTGATTCCCTCTATTCCTTTATAAATTAATTTCTGCAAGTTTTCTGTTTTTAAATTATTTTCAATAAAATGAAAAAACTCTTGTAAAAAAACTTTGTTTGTTGAAACAAATTTTAGTTTTGAAAGTGGCAAATGAAATTCGTTAAAAAATTGCTCCCAAAATTTCTCGTCATAAAGACTTATGGGTACTTTTCCTGTTAATAAAGCAAGGGACGATGATGATCGAATTGATTCCATAAGAGAAAAATGGGATCTTATCAATTAAAAAAAAAATTAAAAAAAAAATTAAAAAAAATGAAAAAAATGAAAAAATGAAAAGATTTTCTTTCTCCTTTTTTTTGCGAAATTTCAACAATCAAAAAAAAAGGAGAAAATGGAATTAATTTAAAAATATAAAAATAAAATAAAATATAAATTAAATATAAATCAAAATTAATTAATTTTATTTATATTTAATAAATAAAATATTTTTAATTAATAAATAATCATAATAAAATCATTTTTAATTTAAAATAAAAAATGGAATTAATTTAAAAATATAAAAATAAAATAAAATATAAATTAAATATAAATCAAAACTATTTAATTTTATTAATATTTAATAAATAAAATATTTTTAATTAATAAATAATCAAAAATAAAATCAATTTTAATTTTAAATATAAAATAGAATTAATTTAAAAATATAAAAATAAAATAAAATATAAATTAAATATAAATTAAAACTATTTAATTTTTGACATATTTAATAAATAAAAATATTTTTGTCTCCTAAATAATCAAATAAAATCATTTTTAATTTAAAATATAAAAATGGAATTAATTTAAAAATATAAAAATAAAATAAAAATATAAACTAAATATAAATCAAAATTATTTAATTTTATTAATATTTAATAAATAAAATATTTTTAATTAATAAATAATCAAAATAAAATCATTTTTAATTTAAAATATAAAATAGAATGAATTTAAAAATAAAAATATAAAAATAAAATAAAAATATAAATTAAATATAAATCAAAATTAATTAATTTTATTTATATTTTAATAAATAAAATATTTTTAATTAATAAATAATCAAAATAAAATCATTTTTAATTTAAAATAAAAATAGAATTAATTTAAAAATATAAAAATAAAATAAAATATAAATTAAATATAAATCAAAACTATTTAATTTTATTAGTATTTAATAAATAAAATATTTTTAATTAATAAATAATCAAAATAAAATCAATTTTAATTTAAAATAATAAATAGAATTAATTTAAAAATATAAAAATAAAATAAAATATAAATTAAAATAAATCAAAAATATTTAATTTTGTTTAAATTTAATAAATAAAATATTTTTAATTAATAAATAATCAAAAATAAAATCAATTTTTAATTTAAAAATAAAAAATAGAATTAATTTAAAAATATAAAAATAAAATAAAATATAAACTAAATATAAATTAAAATTATTTAATTTTATTAATATTTAATAAATAAAATATTTTTAATTAATAAATAATCATAATAAAAATTATTTTTAATTTAAAATAAAAATAGAATTAATTTAAAAATATAAAAATAAAATAAAATATAAATTAAATATAAAAATTAAAACTATTTAATTTTATTTATATTTAATAAATAAAAATATTTTTAATTAATAAATAATCATAATAAAATCATTTTTAATTTAAAATAAAAATAGAATTAATTTAAAAATATAAAAATAAAATAAAATATAAATTAAATATAAATCAAAACTATTTAATTTTATTTATATTTAATAAATAAAATATTTTTAATTAATAAATAATCAAAATAAAATCATTTTTAATTTAAAATATAAAATAGAATTAATTTAAAAATATAAAAATAAAATAAAATATAAATTAAATATAAATCAAAACTAATTAATTTTATTTATATTTAATAAATAAAATATTTTTAATTTAAAAAAATAAAAAAATTTAATTTAAAATAATAAAATTTTTGAAAATTAAAAAATAAGAAAAAAAAAAAAATAATTAAATATTCTCGGAATAGCTCAGTTGGTAGAGCATTTGACTGTAGATTGTAATTTTAAATAATTTATTTAAAAATAAAGAGATATCAAGGGGTCGCAGGTTCGAATCCTGCTTCCGAGATATTTTTTTTTATTATTTTTATTTTTTATTTAATTTAATAAAAGGAAAAAAAATTTTTATTCAACAATTTTTCAACTTTTCATTTTTTTTTTCTTTATTTTTTTTATCAAAATAAAACAATCAAAAAAAAAATATTTTTTTTTAAAACAAATTCAAAACAATCAAAAACAAAATTAAAATATTTCTCTTAAAACACTCTATGCTTCCATCATGATATCAAATAAAAATTCATTGGAAAACGAAAGTCTAATTGAAAAAAACAAGATTCTAAAGAAAATTGAAAAAAAGGATTCAACAGATGAAAAAAACACACACCAGATCTTTGATATAGCAGATGATGGATCACAAATAACTTGCTATTTAATTTTTTATAAAAGAAGTTATATAAGAACTACTTTTTTTGTTATTCTTGCTATTTTGACAGTTGGTTTATCTCTTCTTTTTTTTCACTGGTTTCCAAAGTTAAAACTCAAATCAACTCATCGTAAAGTTCTTCATATAAATCATGCTGATCGTTTTTTAATTTTGAGAGATGATAAAACTTTTAATATCGTCAAAAAAGATCATGTTCAATTAATAGATCAAAAGGGAAATAATTATCAAAGAGTTTCTTTTCAATACAGATTTATTAATTATTTACAAGATACAACTACTCAAACATTCCAAAGAGTTGAGTAAGGCAAATTACAATATTTTTATTTAAATTATTTAAATTATTCAAATTATTTAAATTATTCAAATTATTTATATTATTCAAATTATTTAAATTATTTAAATTATTTATATTATTCAAATTATTTAAATTATTCAAATTATTTATATTATTCATATTATTCATATTATTTATATTATTTATATTATTTAAATTATTCATATTATTTAAATTATTTATATTATTTAAATTATTTATATTATTCAAATTATTCAATTTATTCAATTTATTCAAATTATTCATATTATTTATATTATATTATTTATATTTTTAAATTATTCATTTATTTATATTATTCAAATTATTTATATTATTTTTAATTATTTTAAATTATTTATATTATTTATATTATTTTAAATTATTTAAATTATTTAAATTATTTAAATTATTTATATTATTTAAATTATTTAAATTATTTAAATTATTCAAATTATTCAAATTATTCAAATTATTTAAATTATTCAAATTATTCATAATTATTCAAATTATTTATATTATTTATATTTTTAAATTATTTAAAATTATTTAAATTATTCATTTCAAATTATTCAAAATTATTTAAATTATTTAAATTATTTATATTATTTAAATTATTTATATTATTTAAAATTATTTAAATTATTTATATTATTTATATTATTTATTTATTTATATCATTTAAATTATTCATATTATTTAAATTATTTATATTTATTCAAATTATTCAAAATATTTAAATTATTTAAATTATTTAAATTATTTATATTATTTATATTATTTATATTATTTAAATTATTTAAATTATTTAAATTATTTATATTATTTAAAATTATTTAAATTATTTATATTATTTATATTATTTAAATTATTCAAATTATTTATTTATTCAAATTATTCAAAATTATTCAAATTATTCATATTATTTATATTATTCAAATTATTTATTTATATTTTTTAATTATTCAAATTATTCAAATTATTCAATTTTATTCAAATTATTTAAATTTATTTAAATTATTTAATTATTTAAATTATTCAAATTATTCAAATTATTCATATTATTTAAATTATTTAAATTATTTAAATTATTCATATTATTTAAACTATTTAAATTATTTTAAATTATTCAAATTATTCAAAATATTTAAATTATTTATATTATTTATATTATTTAAATTATTCAAATTAAATTATTCAAATTATTTATATTATTCAAATTATTCAAATTATTTATATTATTTAATATTTATTTTTATATTATTCAAATTATTCAAATTATTTATATTATTTATATTATTTAAATTATTCAAATTATTCAAATTATTCAAAATTATTTAAATTATTTATATAATTATTTAAATTATTTATATTATTCAAATTATTCATATTATTTAAATTATTCAAATTATTCATATTATTTATATTATTTATATTATTTATATTATTTAAATTATTCAAATTATTCAAATTATTTAAATTATTCAAATTATTTATATTATTTAAATTATTTAAATTATTCAAATTATTCATATTATTTATATTATTTATATTATTTATATTATTTATATTATTTAAATTATTCAAATTATTTATATTATTTAAATTATTTAAATTATTCAAATTATTCAAATTATTTAAATTATTTAAATTATTCAAATTATTCAAATTATTTATATTATTTAAATTATTCAAATTATTCAAATTATTTTGAAAAGATTTGAAATGAATAAAAATTTTAGAGAAATCCTCTCAACAATGTCAAATGGAATCAATGATAAAAATGAAATTAAAAATCGGAAAAATTTATTTGGACAAAATTTAATTAATGTTCCAGTTAAATCTTATATTGGTTTGTTACTTGATGAAATTCTTAATCCTTTATTTGTTTTTCAAGTTTTTGCTATTCTTGTTTGGTCTTTGGAAGATTATTATTATTATGCTGTTTGTATTTTCCTTATTTCTTCATTTGCAGCTATTATGGGAATGCTTGATGCTCATCGCAATTTAGAAAATTTACAAAAAATGGCAAGACATGAATGCTTTGTTAATGTTTTTCGAAATGGAGAATGTAATCAAAATTAAAATTAAAATTAAAATCAAAATCAAAATCAAAAAATTAAAATCAAAATCAAAATCAAAATCAAAATCAAAATCAAAATCAAAATCAAAATTAAAATCAAAATCAAAATCAAAATCAATTTCAAAATCAAAATCAAAATCAAAATCAAAATCAAAATTAAAATTAAAATCAAAATCAAATCTAAAATCAAAATCAATTTCAAAATCAAAATCAATTTCAAAATCAATTTCAAAATCAAAATCAAAATCAAAATCAATTTCAAATTTAAAATCAAAATCAAAATCAAAATCAAAATCAAATTTAAAATCAAAATCCAAAATTAAAATCAAAATCAAAAAATCAAAAAATTAAATTTAAATTTAAATCAAAATTAAAATTAAAATCAAAATTAAAATCAAAATCAAAATCAAATTCAAAATTAAATTTAAAATCAAATTTAAAATCAAAATCAAAATCAAAATCAAAATCAAATTTAAAATCAAAATCAAATTTAAAATCAAAATCCAAAATCAAAATCAAAATCAAAATCAAAAAATCAAAAAATTAAATTTAAATTTAAAAAAATAGTCAAAGAAATCTCCTCTAAAAAATTAGTTCCTGGAGATGTAATCGAAATTCCAAACAACTTTATTCTTCCAGGAGATTTCATACTTCTTAATGGACAATGCATAGTTAACGAAAGCATGCTAACAGGAGAATCTACACCAGTGATCAAAACATCACTTCCAAACGATCCCAAACAAATTTACGACATTTTATCTCATAAGAAATACACATTATACTCTGGAACCAAAGTGATTCAATCTCGATTCTACTCTGGAAATCGAGTACTTGCAATGGTTGTGAGAACATCATTCAATACAATGAAAGGATCTTTAGTTCGATCAATTTTGTTTCCTAAACCACATAATTTCAAATTTTATCGAGACACATTTAAATTCCTGATTGTAATGGCAATAATAGCGGTTATTGGCTTTATTGTGTCGACAATATTTTTCCTGAAGCTTGGGGTTTCTGTTTCTGATATTTTGGTTCGCGCAGGTGATTTAATCACTATTGTTGTTCCTCCAGAACTTCCTATTGTTATGACAACTGGTGCTTCTTTTGCAATCATGCGACTGAAAAAAATACAGATTTATTGCATTTCTCCCCCTCGTATTAATGTGTCTGGAAAGATTAATTTTATCTGCTTTGATAAAACAGGCACCTTAACAACAGATGGGCTTGAAGTGTTGTGTGTGCGTCCAACTTCCCAAAACAAATTTTCTTCAGAACAAACTCATATCGATTCAACGTTTTCCAATGTTCCTTCTAAAATGCTTCATGTTATGGCGTGTTGTCATTCTCTTTCTAGAGTTGACGGTGAAATTATTGGCGATCCACTTGAGATCCAAATGTTCCAATTTACCGGTTGGGAATTTCAAGAAATTCAATCAGATGAAAATACAGGTTTTGATACTCTAATATCGACAATTGTTTATCCACCAAAAGATTCCGAAGAAAAGGAAGCCAATTCAGAAGATGTCGATTCAGAACAAAAATCAGAACAAAATTCAGATGATTTAGTAATTGAAAACCCCGATGCAAATCTGGCATTGACAGCTAATAACCCCTCAACAGAATTTGGGATTGTCAAAACATTTGATTTTTCTTCAAATCTCCAACGGATGAGCGTTATTGTTCAGCAAACAGATATTCAATCTCTTGAGCTTCATGTGAAAGGATCACCAGAACAAATCCGTATTCTTTGTGATGAAAATTCGATTCCTAAAAATTACTCGTCGGTTCTTGATCTTTATACAAAGGAAGGATATCGAGTGATTGCACTTGCCTATCGGGAGCTTCCCGAAGTAGATTTGAGTGATCTTGATCATCTTCTGCGAGAAGAGGTTGAAAAGGATTTGATTTTTCTTGGGTTTCTTGTTCTTGAAAACAAACTTAAGCCAGACACAAAGGATGTTATTATCCAACTTAATGATTCGCGATTTGAAAGTGTCATGGCTACTGGTGATAATCCTTTGACTGCTATCAGTGTTTCCAAGAAATGCAATCTTATTCATCCTACTTCTGTTGTTTTTTTATCTGAAAGAAGGAATGGAAAGATTCGTTGGGTTAATGTGGATAATCACAATCAAATTTTTGATCTTGAAAAAAATCAAATTATTAATTTAAAAGATGATGAGATTTCTTTATCTGATAGCGAAGAGGTTGATATTTCTAAAGGAGAAA